GGATTGGCTAAGGAGGACAACGGCGTTAGAGAGGGAGGCGCTCGGTTTGCGACACTCTGGAATAGATCACTTGAAAAGGTTCGCTCTCATTGTGGTTTGGTTTGTAAGATTATATTATAGGAAAAGGCAAAATACACCTTCATAGCTATAACTATCCAATTTTTGCCAATAATAGCCACTTTTTAAAAAATACACAGAAATAGCCATTCCGTCCAAAACTTTAACGGACTAGCTGCGAATGCTGACTGGACTAACGATTATGGTTGACATGGCATGTTTTGATAAAAAAACTAACCGGGTGGAAATTAGCTATTTTTATTTATATAAAATTAAAAAGAAACACAAAGAGGAAGCGAAAGGTCTTCCCCTTCAACAGACCACCTCCTCTTCTCTTCACCTGAAAAAACCCTCCACCCACCATTGTTTCCGATCGACAAAGACCCTCCAATCAACACACCCTTTCGCCGGAGACCCTTCCTTCCTATAGCGCGTTCTCCCGGCGTCCATCCCACATCATTTCACCCAGTCATCCCCAATCTTCGACAAGAGTCCTCCCCGAAATTGATTCAAGAGACCACAAGAGCCTCGGTTCCAGCGCCGTCATCGACAACGACCGATTATATTCTCCGACCTCACCGTCTTGATCGATTCGGAAATGGAAGGAGACGAAGCAACTAAGAAGTGAGACCGAGAGATTTGTTCAATTTGATTCTAGGGTTCGAGATGGGATTTTTTCTCTTTCTTGGATTTGATTTACTCGCGGTGGGTTTTTCAGTGGGGTTTCATCGATTTGACTTACTTCGTGTGGGTTTTGTTTCGGGCAGAATCAAACAGAGGTTTTAGAAGAAGAGGATTTGAGTGTTTGAGTTTGGGAAAGTGGACGAGGGAAAGGTTGCAGTTTCAACAACTTGGGTCGTCTTCTCTATGGAATTGGAAAACAAAGCAACGACAGTCCGTCGCCACAAAAGGACCCAGGAATCCGGCCGGAGAATGAGGAGCAAGGTCGTCGGAGAAATATCTCGATGCACTGCTTCTTTGCCTGAACGAGATCCGTGCTCAGCAGCCCGTCACCACCGCAGCTTCAAGGAAGATGGGATGAGGGTTTTTTGGGTGAGAGATTTTATTTGTTGGGCGGCGATGGCGTACAGATATATGATATTTTTTTTTAAATTTAAAATGTGACGTGTCATACATGTGGTATGGAGTGATGAGGTGGACAGGACGTGTAGTTTAGGTTGCATCCACGTCAGTTTAGCGTCCACTTAATTGACAGAGTAATTGACGGTGTTAAAGTATTTAACGAAAATGGCTAAATTTGACAAATAAGTTTTAAAATTATGGCTATATCTGTGTATTTTTCAAAAAGTGGCTATTATTGTCACAAACTCGATAATTGTGGCTATGCAGTGTATTTTGCCATGGGAAACGCAAATTATCAATGGCTCGCTGAGAAATTCTTAGGTGCACTGGGTGCACCACGTCACCCGTGCACCGCCCCAATCAAATATTGTCACGTGGTTGTTTATTATTTAAATTTTTTTATTCCAAGCAAAATACAGCGACGGAGAAAAGAGAGGCGAGTCCTCCACTACCACCGTCACCGCCAAATTCCTTCATCGCTTACAAACCTGTCAAGAACATCCTTAATCCTATGCTTCATCTCCATATCCATGACTACAGTGTCGAAAGTGGTCGGATTCCTCGTCGTCGGATCCGCCCTCGGCCAGGACGATGGAGACCTTTTTCTGGTGGGGGAATTTCCCGACACAGATCCGCTTGTTCTTGGGCCCGATTTGGTGAACAAGAGGTCATTTCAGTCGAGGTCGTCCCAGTCAGTGTCTACTACGAAGGTTTCGAGCTCCGGCGAAGGCTTGAGGGAGAAGAAGAAGGTCTTCATCTCGCGGTAGACGTTTCTGACGAGCATTCAGGTATTGGAGCAGGCGTAGAACTTTGAGTGAGTAGATGTTGATGGGAGGTGGGTCGGGATCCGATTGAGGTTTGGAGAGGAGAAAGAATGGCGGGTTTAAGAGCAGGAGAGAATTGGGGTTGGACGTCGATGGTGGCGGTGGCGAAGGCGAAGTCGCCTCTCCTTCATCCGTCGCTGTTCTTTTGCCAGGAATAAAAAAATCTAAATAAAAAACAACCACGTGGCAATATTTGATTGGGGCGGTGCACGGGTGACGTGGTGCACCCGGTGCACCTAAGAATTTCTCTGGCTCGTTTATCGTAGGTAGGGGTGTATTAAAAAAAAATCATAGGTAGGGCTGTTAATGAGTCGAGTCAAGTCGAACCCAGTTTTGTCTTGTTTAGATTTGTTCATTAATAAACGAGTCGAACTCGAGCTCGACTCATTTATGAACGACCTGAGTCGAGCCGAACACGAGTCAGCTCATTTATTAAATCTTGGCCCATCATTAAGATCAAAATTTTGGATTGAGCTCAACTCTAAGACAATTTATGAATTAAATACCTAATATATATGTCAATATGCGAGACATACTTGTTCACATAAATTATTAAACATCACATGAGGTGTGATGTACAATTTAATAAATATATGCATCATTAACAAATTAACTCATTAGATATAGATCGATTTTCTCATAAGTTGTAATCAAGTGGGATAGTTCATGAGTCAAATTCAACAAGGCACCTAATTGAACTAGTTCATGAGCCGAACAAGGTTGAGCTCAAGTTCGGCTCTTTAACAAACGAATCGAGCTTTTATTAAATCGAACAAGCTTTTATCGAGTTCGAAACCGAGCTCTTCGCGAATAGCTTGATTCATTAACAACCCTAAATTCATAGGAGTGGGTCGTCCATTCGTTCGAGAATCAATAGATTCTGTCCAAATATCGATTCGGTAAGATGTGACCCAAATTGGTGTCCACTCACTCCTAGTTCATTGTTGTGATTTACATTTTACTGGTTTCATAATATTAAATTATGAAAGATTATTAATGAACATATATCTGACAAATAAGAAGTCTTAGAATGAGAATATTATAAGTAAAATGCACATAATAACACACTAAATAATAAATCCAAAATAAAATACATCATTTATAAACAAAGATGAATACTAAAGTTTTTAAAGTCCAAACTCCAAAAGCTTATCCTCTAAAAGAAAAACAAAATTGTTTAATTATTAATATATTCCTACAAAATATTATTTTTTGAATATGTAAACCATTTTAAGCTAAGTAGATTTGCATTTTCTTATTAATATTTTAAGTTGTTTGCATATTGATACAAAATATTGGTTGCATTTTTTTTATCGGCAATCTGGTCAATATTATTAGAGAAAAATCAGTTCTGGCCCACGGGACCACAGCCCAAATCATTCTCCATCATACAAAGGAGATTAATCGGTGGGTTATCCACTCAAACCACTTGATGATTCCAACCCGACCCAGAGTGGGCTAACCAATGAGAAATAGAATTTGTTTTCCTCGAAGAGAATCTCCATCTGATCTTGTCACCCGAAATCCTTTCATTCACCGAAGCCAGCTCCTTGAGCACCTCGCACCAAATTCCCAACTCAGTAAAATTCGCCACGCCCTTGTTCAGCAAATTCACCAGAGCTTGACAATCTAATTCAACCACAAGAGGGCTCAAAGATCTGCGATTAGCTTCTCGTAATCCCATCACCATCGCCTTCGCTTCAGCAATAATAGGCTGGCAGATCCTTTTTCTTTCTTCGCCATAGCCCCAACAAATTCACCCTTCCAGTTGCGAATAACAGTTCCCAAACCAATTCCTTGTTGCTGGAGTACTCCCGCGTCACTATTCACTTGAAGACTCCTTCTGGGGGGAAGCCATCAATCTATACTGGAGCTTGCGTTCCTGGCCTGACCTGAAGAGATGATCTGCGATCTATATTGGTTGCATAGTTGAAAAACATATTTTATTGTCAATCACAGGTCCTGGGTTCGTACTAACATAAACATTTTTTAAACATATTGGCTGGGAGGTTTAAATATGGTTGTTCGGTTCGTCCTGTTTAAAGGAAATGACTAATTACCTTATTCGAACCAGTTTAGTGACCGAATCCTGGTCTTACAAATCAGACTAACAGGTTTGGCTAGTTTCAACAACCATGGTTTTAGCGTTACAATACGTGCTTTCTGTGAATTATACTATTATTTATTATTTGCTTGATGATGTAGAAAGTAGAAACTATAGTTCAAAACGAATGTTTCTACATTCTCATTTTTAAAGTTGTAGTCCTAAGAAGTTATGCAAAAAAAAATATATATATATTCATCACGTTCGAATTTTTTAGCACAAAGTTATAATAGTGTAAAGTTTGGCAAAATCGAAAATTGTTTGTTCGGGGTAGCAAACAACTTTTTTCTAGGACAAAGGCGGGGCCAAATTGCTTGTTCCTTGCAAGATCTCGAAAAATTATGCGAAATCAAAACACTACTATCGGATACCCTTGCTTAATGCATGTTCACTTCCCATTTGGTTTTCTGTTTTTTGTTGGCCCAACAAAAATTAAGAAACATAAGAGAAAAAACGTGTTCATTTGTCATTTTGATTTTCGTTGGAAAATTAAGTTGGCAATAAATGGATAGCTGGGAAAAACAACAAATACCAGTTTTCTGAAATATAGGACATGGGTTTCTCCCTGTTGCCTAGCGGAAAATCAGCAATGTAGTTAAATGAAGTCTGGGGTTTGAATCCCCATTTGTATTTGTTTTAGTTAATGCACTCATCCACCCACACGCGGCCTTTGGTGTCGTTTTGGGCCTTTGGCCGCTGAACCCTAGCAGCCGCCAATTGATTCCTCCTCCATCCAGTGGCGAAGAACTTCCACTCCAACATTGGCGTCCCTGCTCGACCTTTATCGATTGGTTCCGATTTTAATCATATTCTCCTAGTTCTAACCCTTGTTTTCCGCACCTCATCTTCCCGAACTAGCCAGGGTGAATGCAAACGATGCTGATTTCCATACCTCTCCGTCCGAAGCTTCATTCGACAAAGAGAAGATCGTAGCAGTGGAAAATCTTCCTCCTCTCGCCAGAAAACCCTGCTCGAATCTTCATCCCTGGCCTTTGAGAAACTCCAGCCGTCGAAAAGAAGTTCTGCAGAAAAAGTTATGTTTCATTATATATAATTCTAGGTTGAGTTTCATATAATCATATTGTTGAACTGTTGCTCCCAATAATAATTGGGATTGCTAGGGGAATACGTCCAACGTTGCATATTTCATTTTCATGTTTTGTATCCTGTTCCCCTTTGAATTATCAGCTAACTGTCATTTTTCCTTCTCAATTCTGATTTGTTCTCAAAAGGAAAGGAATATATGACTCCAAGTAGAACTGGGAATCTAGACCAAACCGTATGACAAATCGCGGTTTAGACCCTACCGTACTGTTTGGTCCGGACCGTAAGACCATGAATACAATTTGGTCTAGTCCATGGTATGCCTCTTTACTTTGCAGTCTGGAACGGTTTGGTCTGATCTAGACTGTGGTTTACAGTCTAGACTGTGACCCCAATAAAGTGTGGGCTTGCAGCATCAATCCCAACCCCCAAGCCCATCTCGGCATCTCCAAAGGGCCAAGGCCCAACTCCATTCTCCACCAATCAATAGCCCATGCAGCTTCCCCATTCCCCAACATTGTGATTTTGTAATTGCGAGAGATCGAGAGACGAAAAGGAAAACCTACAGTAGTCGACCAATCGCCTCTCCTCCAGTATTCCTCTGAGTGTCCATCATCCGCTCTGTCGTCGACTTTCCAGAAGGCATAAGCTCTGTCACACATTTTTCGGTTCGTCGCCATCGATCTCCGCCAACGTTCTCAGGTCGACCTCCGCCATTGACCTCTACCTCTACCATTGACCTCTTCCATTGACCTCCGCCATCGTTCGCAGGTCAACCTCCGCCATCGATCTCTACCTCTACCATTGACCTCTACCATCGACCTTTGATATTGGCCATTGCCATTGACCTCTTCCTTCCATCGACCTCACTTCTCAGTTTGCTCCATCGCTGACTGGCCCCTCCAATCTAGAATCCCTCCATTGCGATGAGCTTCCTCTTTGTTTGCCAGATGGTAATGATAATGAACCCTCTCTAATCTATCTTTCTCCTACCTTACCCCATTATGCTTTGTTTTCTTTGTTTTTTCGTATGACAAAGTGGAGGGGATTTGGTTAGCGATGTTAATATAGGTTAATGTGTTTTTTAGTTACTAGCTAATATTTAGATTGGATAATACATGTTTAGTTGACACATGGTCTACCCGGTCTAGTCTGGACCGTATAGTTTATGGTCTGGTCCATGGTCTCTGTTTTACCCACTCGGCCTAGACCGCGGAAAATATATATGGTCTGGTCTGGAACAGACCGCACCATTTTTCAGCCCTAACTGGCAAGTGCCATATGTGACATATGGAAGAATGTGGAAAGTCTATAGTATTGATAAGCTGATTCCAAACTTGAACTCAGGCGTGTGTGATAAGATGTTTGTATTTGTATTGTGTTTATTATTAGTTTAAAAAACAATGTGATTCGTGTTAAAATTTATATAAATAATCATGATTAGTATTGTATGATACTCAATAAAATTGGGGTAATCAAGAACTAAAAACCATATAAAGCAACTAAACAGGGTGAAGATGTAGGACCTCATGATGTGTTTACCACCACCCAAAAAAAGGCCTTTTCCCCATGTCCAAGACAATTGCCAGTCATTTGAACTCGTGTCTAAGACCTCCGGACAAGCTAGTGATGACAACCGTTCCATGAACTCTAGCATTTAGAGGTTTTCGCCATGGTGTTGAGACGATAGGGCTGAGAGTTGATGATTGTGCACATCTTTTGCACCAAAAGGTCCGAACCCACTGGTCAAGAGAGTGAGTGACTCATTCTTGTTTTGTATGCCATATCATACCCTGGTGAGAACCTTTGTTGCCCATCCATTTGTTTCTTGGACTTGAGCTCTATGAATGGTTAGTTGTGGTTGGTAAGTGATCTTGTTGAAACTTGCATTGATTCATGAACACGGTGAGAACTTTTCATTTGCCCGTTTCTAGTAGCCTCGAATGTCGTTTATGGTGGATGTCGGTATTGCTTGCAACGGTCCTTGTGTTAATTGCCAATAGCCATTTGAGATTCACCACTTTGTGCCCTTTGAATTGTCTCCAAAGCATTTTGATAGGATGAGTTTTTACCTTGTGTGAAATGGTTTGCTTGGGGACAAGCAAACGTCTAAGTGTGGGGGAGTGATTCGGGCCTAATTGCACACATTTCAACCCCGTTTCCCTTGGGAGTTTGTAGCATTTGGACTCCTAAAAGGATGGTTTTACGCTAGTTTTTGTGCGTTTTAGTGTGTTTCAGGATCCAACAGGTAAAACCAGCCCCGGAGTCGTAAGTTGGACGGAAAGAGGCGAAGACCGGGCAAAGAGGGTGATCCGGGGCAGTTCACGGTTTCCCATGGGAGTTCACAGTCCACTATGGTCGTGAACTGAAGCCCAAAACCGTGAACCGCGATGCATTCAAGGAGTATTCTGCAGTTACTACCGCGGGACGAGTTCCCGGTCAACAAGATGTTGAAGATTGTGGCCAAACCATGAACTCCTGATTGCGAAGCGGTGCATTTCGACATCGCGCTCTGTGTTCACGGATGCGTTGAAGAGTTCACGGCCGTGAACTTAGCTCGATCCTGGTATATAATGTGATTTGAAAGGAAGAGAGAAGGGTGGAGCCCAAGTGTGAGAAAGTGTCTTCTTCAGATTTTAGAGAGAGAAAGGAAGAACCAAGGAAGAAAAAAGGCTAGGGTTTGCTCTAAGTAGTGGATAGGGAAGATTCTCCCCAAGAGAAGATCAACACAAGCTCAAAGGAGATTGGAGGCATCACCATGATGGTTTCTACCTCTTCCTCTTGTGTTCTTCCCCTTCCTAGCATGGAGTAGTACTCTTTTTCACTTGGGTGTTGTGAAACCCTAACTATTTTCCATGTAGTTGTTGGGTGAATTGAATGATTGTTTATGGGTGTTGTTTAATTTAATGATTGAGGTATTTTTCATGTTGATTGTGCATGTTTGTGCTTAGCAATCGAATTGTCCATTCTAACCTTATTGAGAAGGAAAAACCTATCTAGGTTAATGTAGGGCAAACCTCTATGTTGAATTGAGCAATTTGGTTAAGCACGATTAAGCCGACTAACCATTGGGTTGAGTGAGAGAGTAAGTCAAACATCGATTGCCTTAACCAAGAGGGCTACTTGAGTAGCCTATAATGTATCCCTTGGTTTGGCAAACGAGAGTGTGGTCTACGACCATAGTTGCGTTTCCTAGCGGTTCGCGGTCACCTTGCCCGTAACAATTAATTCAATTCATTGTGCCATAGTGGTAGTTAGGGGGAAGCGACACCCGAGTGATCCTTCTAACATAGAGCTTTCAAAACCATTTACTTTTGCCTTGCTTTACTTTAATTAGCAATCTTTTCAACCAAAACCGATTCGCTAGATAATGTTTCAAACAATTGAAGTAGGGATACACGGACCGGCCCGAGTCGATATTTAAATATACTTGCCATGTATTGCACCCTACTAAGGTTTATACTTGGACCTTAGGCGGGAATTAATTGTGATATTCGGGACGAGTCAAGAAGCTTTCATTGACAAAAATTATCATCTTACAGTCGTATGCCGAGCATACAACAAAGCTCTAGTGGATGATGTTGCTGAGCTGGACAAAATTTCTATGTCGATAAATGTGAATGACAATGGAACACTGTTGGGTCTCGTAAAGAGTTGTATTGGCACGAAAGTTACTAATCGGATTGGAGACTGGATTGTTGATCTTGCAATTGACGGTGCCATGAATGTTGGTACTGACAAAGGCCAAGGTCAGCAAAAGGCGTTGTCAGTAGAAACAGGGTTTTTTTCAGCAGCCTCAGAACAAGGAATTTACTAGAGTGTGTGAGTCTCGAGTCTGCCTTAGGGATCCATTCTCTACCAAGTTTGTGTTTTCTTCTCAAGAGAACAACAAGAGATTGTTCCAAGGTGAGTGGAAATTTTGAAATTGGCATATGGAACTTGTTGGACAAGGGTGAAGTTTAGAAGAAGGGATGTCCCTCTCAACTTCAAGGAGCCCTTCAACGAAAATGTTCTGGGGGCAGACCTGTGGAAGAGTTGTTTGTTTGGCACCCCTATGAAGAACTATGAGACTGGAAGTTTCAAAGGGCATGGTGGCTGAATGACAGCTGGAATTTTGGGCTGAATGACAATGGGATGTTTGGTTATAGGATCTTTCCCACATATTACGGAGTTTGTGTATTATCTCACAGCAGAGGGAGGTGTCCATGCTTTAAGGAGCCCTAAAAGGATTCTTTCTGTATATTGAAGCAACAAGGCAGTGATGGGGTTTAATGTTGAGTATGATGGCTTTTGAGACTGAATTTAGAGCTGCTATAATTGATGGGTGGTTAGAAGAGGAGGTATTGAGGACTGGTTGTTGCCTAGTATTGTTGTTGGATTGCTCCATAAGATGGGAACTTCATCATTGGTATGCAGATGATATATCTTACCTCAGCTGCGGAGACAACCAGGAGCCCTTGTCTTCTACTCAGCATATGATCATTTCCATTTCCATTGTTTCTTTCGTTAGCTTGTTAGCTCATTTCCTTGTTGTGTTAGCCCTACATTTGGTTTTTAGACTTGAGGACAAGTCTATCCTCAAGGGCTTGGGATTGTAATGAATGGGGATTTAGTTGTACTAGGATTTAGTTGAGGGACCAGTTTGTAATTAGGTGGTCATATAACAGGAGGGAATAAGCTGTAAAGAGGATTATCGAATGAAATCACTAAGAATTTCCTCTCTTCTGGTTCTTTGCCCTCTATCTCCTTCTTTTCTTCCTCTGCAACTTCTCTGATCTCTCCCTTTCTTCTGATTCTTCTTCTCAATTCACCTCATTTCTTCCTCAATCCAGTCTCTTTCTCTATTCTTAATCACCGAAAAGATCCAGTCCTCCACCGGGACATTGCATATGGCTGGTTGAGGAAGCAAAATCATTGGCGAAATCTGCCTAGGGAACCCCGGAATTGGACCAAATGACCTAGTCGCCACTGTCTAATCGGTGAAATATCTGAACTTTGCCCTTAAAAAAGAATAAACATCTGAATAACTTAGGGATTCCATTGGGGAAAGGAATAAATACGAAATAAGTGAATGGTTGATAGCGTAAACATACTGAAAATCTTCCAAATTCCAATTGCAGTAAAACACATATGTCAAATCAATTCAGAGCGGAGAGCATAACTTACCTTGTAGCACCGTCGATGAGATCGGGGAGGAAATATCGAAATTGATATCGTTGACTGTTTTTGTTTGGCGGATTGGAGAAGCCGCGCTCTATGGTTTGAACATTGCCGACATTGACGGGGATAAAAGCACTGCAAATTTGATGAGAAGGAAACTTTTGGGTGGACGGTTAGAATCAGGGTCACGGATGAACGAAGAAGAGACTGCATAAAGGGTGAAAAAGGAGGGGATTTTCGACGGAAGAGAGAGAGTCTTATTTTAAGTGGCTATCGTGGATGGTTATACTTTCAGAAAGGCTGATGTGGATACGCTGAAAATCTGAAAGGGCTTTAATATTTTTTAAGATATATAGACATTACGGTCAATACTACGGTGCCGCCATAAAAAGTGCGACACCGGTAACGCATTTTTCATTGGTCCACGTGGACTATTATGTGGCATGATCGGATTTTATTTAATTTGAACCAGAAACTGATAACCAACCAAGCTACCCAAACTGACGGAACAGACTAATTGTAAATTCATTAATGTTACAAGGAAAAAACCAATAAAAGGAAACCTAGAACAGAATCACTTTCGTCGTCTTCTTCTCCGCCGGAAATCAGTTTCAGCGAACTTCACTGTAATTGATAGTGTCTCAAGTCTCTACCATATGCCTCCAGGCATCTCCTTCGCAAGCTCCCTCTTACGTTTATTCTTTGAAAACAAAACGAACGAATCTTTGCCCCGACTAACCCTCTATCCCTGTCGAACCGCCACCTTACCAGACGATCACAATCCATAATAAAATAGAACCGCCTCCCATTGGCGCTCCCCCTCGCTTTGCCCCCTCTTTGTTGGAATCGTCGAAATAGAATCTGAATTTCCTTGGAAGTGCATAGAAGTTTCCCCAACAAATTCAAAGGGTTCCATGTATACGTTCGTTTGTATTTTGAGCAGCCTTGGAGAACAATTGAATAAGAACATAGTGTTTGATGAAGTGACATTAAATGGCAGCATCTGGTTCAACCTTAACCTTCATTGACAAGCATGTCCCGGGTGACGCACCCGTCCCCGTCCTTCTTCTGCACATCGACCTTGGTTGTAGTACCATCCACCGGATGGATGCTATGATTCAGAGCACAGGGTATGAGCTGCCGTTCAAGGCATCAAGGTAGAGCTTGTGAGAGCTAGAGTCGCGAAATTTTAAATGTTTTGGGATATTTGCAGATCAATCTTCTCAGCCTGGGACCATAGAGCTAGTACAGTGGTCTGCATCATTAGCAGCTGTAGGTTCGTAGGGCTTCAGAGCAGTTGGCTAAAAGATTAACATGATACTTCTGCCAGTTGGATTGGGAGATAGGGGCAAAGAATAAAACAATTGGCAATGATCAAGAGATGGAGGAAAGAGTTTTGTCATCCTATGTAAATGTAAGGGCAACACATATCATTTACTGTCTCTCTCATATGTGCCGCCTGTGGTGGGAATGAAATTGGATTTGTTGGACCATAACATCTAGACCCACGGAACCGGCCCACGGTGCACCAAAACGCAGCCCAAACATCCTTTGAATAATAAAATGGACCGAAATAGAGAAAAAGCATTAAATCATGACACCACGCCTTCCTCGCTAAGCAACGGATCGAGACCAGGACCCGGACAGAACCACAAACCAAAGAAAACTAAAAGCAGTTTCCTCAGCAGGCAGCTAAGCCAAATCCACCGCTTCTGGAAACTCCCGAAACCAGAATTCGCACTTCTGCAGCGAGCTAGAAGGCAGCATTTTCGTCCAAGTTTGGGGGAATGGCGTTGCAATGGATGATCCTGGCCTACGTTGTGGCAGCGGAGGTGGTACTCGTCTCTTTGTTGACGATCCCTGCGCCAAAGCTACTCAAGAAGCAGCTGGTCTCTCTCGTCTCCTTAATCCTACAGCCGGCGCTGTTCGTCGTCCCTTTCGCCGGATTTCAGCTCCTCGGTGAGCCGACTTTCTCTCTACTTTTCTCGATTCGTCTTAGATTCGGTTTTCAGCTCCAGCGGCGTTCGGATCGATGTGTGTGAAAGCACTGTTTGGTTTGAATCTTTTGTTTTTTGTTTTGCAGATATTTATTGGAAGAATGAGCATCGGTTGGTGTGCACGTCGGATATCTGCACCGCCGCTGAGCGGGATCGTTATGAGAAATCTGTAAGTTATTGATTGATTGATGTTAGTTTTGTGAAGCTTTCGCCGCTAGATTCAGGAACTTGATTGATACTTAGGAAGGTAGTGATTCGAATGTTACTGTGCAGCTTTTAGATTTTGGGGGAATTTTGATGGATAACTAGGAAAGTAGTGGTTAGGTGTGCTGATGTTGATCTTGGTCATAGTAAGAAATGTAGCTCTTAATTCCTAAGGCAGAGGGGATGAGTAGATGTGCAAACACTAGTTTGGATTTGAAACTCAGCCCTTCCTACTTTCATTTTGCACGCCTTATGTTGATAGTCGTCAATCAGAAGAGTCATGGTAAGGAAATATAAGCTTTAGGTTGTAGGGGGTATATGTATTTAGAGCCTCTGATGAACAAAGGATACTTTTATATGTGCATTGGAGCATACTCTGAAGCATTTTCAATGATTTGAGGTAGTAAATGGCGAACCTCAAAAGACTGTTGTCAACTAGATTCGACCTTGCTGCAATATCCCATGGTCTTAAGCAGCCAACACAAGTCACTCAGATCGTAGATTAAACAACGACAAGCTGTTATGGGAACTGATGCTTCTTTCTCTTCTTTTTATTATCTGGTTGCTGAACAAGAAACTAGTGAGTGGCGAGTCTATTATGAGCATGATAACCCTTGGAGACAGGGGTTGACGTGTCCTATGCGCCGAGTATGCCTTGATGCGGTGTCGTGGAATCTTTATTTGCCGCTGATGCTGTTCTATTTCTGCAGTCATATCTAGGATCCGACAGAGCTTACAGCAGAAAGTAACTGAAGTTTGGCAGATTAGACAGTGAGAATTGGTTACGCAGTAGTATTTCTTATGAATAACTGGCTCTTCCACATTTAGTCATCATCTGGTGAGACTTATCCGATATGGGGAGAGTCTGAAGTTAATATAACTCTTCAGTATTATTACAGTTGGTCCTCCCTGCATTTCTTATAGTAAGAAACTTAGGATCTAGTCTCTCATTTGAATTGTTCCTCAGTTGACTGCCTTCTCAATTGTGTTGTGCTAATGATACTTTTACGTCTAATCTTCAACACTATTGTCTCCATTCTCTTTGGATGATTGTTTTGGACTTGTCTTTTGTTATGATGATAAGACCATCATTGTTTGGTTATGCCGTGCAGATGTACAAATCGCAGAGGAACGTAGTTCTTTGTGCTATAGCTTGCACGCTGTACTGGTATGCAAACAATCAGCCTCTATAGAAAATGCATGTCTCCAAAATTTCTGGGACCTTGTATTTCTTACTCGAGCTGTTCATCTAATTACGTCTTCCAAATCGCCGTGCAGGTGTCTCTATCGTATATCCCATTACCACAAAGAGATCCAGAGGTTGGAGGAAGTGGAAAAGAGGGCCAAGGAGCAGTAGAGTTATGCCATGTTTTTACTGCCATTGTATCGACCAGAATCTCCTTTGATTAGTAATCTGTAGTTGTAACAGTATCTAAGCAGCAGCTATTTTTCACCTTACTTTCCACACTTGTTATGGACAAATATGTGATTATTAGACACAGACGCAATTTCTGTTTATTGTACTGGATTTAGCACCTGTTGTGGGTTTGTTTGCTCTTCTCCCCCATGCCTTCGGCTACTCGGCTTAGCTCCAGTGACTATGATTTTGCAATAAGATGTGTGATATGATATATCATGCATTGTTGTATCGTGTTCTTTCTTCAGTTAACTTATTGGCTTCTTCCGTCAATGGAAAACACCATTTGAATATTCGTTCTACTATGAAATTTCATACAATGCAACCGTGAACCGTTTTAACTCCTATACTTTGCATCAATGTTCATGAAACCATATCCAGCATCACAGAAAGAGGTCGCTTGCTTGTAGGATTTTCATCATGGATGTTAGATTAAAATCCCACACCCATGAGATTATGCACAAAGTCCATGTGTGGTGTTAAAGTGGTGTTGGATTATTGTGTGTGGGTCCATTTATGTGGGATTATTGTGTGTGAGTCCATGTATGTGGGATTATTTTGAGGCCAACATTCGTGGGGTCCACAAATTTTAAAATCTCACCTATTTAGTTGGGATTTTGTGGGGGCTAAAATCCATGATGGTAAATGACGGATCTATCCTCATCTCTTTTCAATATTTCCTATATTGAACATCAAGGACACAAATCATTAAGGATACAAATGTAAATTCAGCGTATAATTAATAAATTACATGAGCACAAATCCAATATGAAATCCAACAAGCAAAAAATCACTTTTTAAAATCCAACACAAATCCAAAGTGACAAAATCCCACATAATCCTTCATCCATAAAATTTAAGGTTTTACCTAAATCTTTCATTTTTTGAAATCCTACAAGCAAACGACCTCAAAGTTTTTGATGAAATCGAAGAGAATCAAGAAAAAAATCATGGTTTCTCCGTTCTCCGTGACAAGGCGAAACTTTTTGCTATTTTATTTCTTTGATGATAGAGACTTAGAGCGGCCTGATATAAACCCGCCTTTTTTATTGAAAATGTAATCCAACCTTAAATACAATGACAAGAAAAAAAATTAATTCTCTTTGTCACGCACGAACCAGGGTTAATCGAGAATAGAAGAAAGGAACGATAGTGAAGAAAGTAAAGAATTTTTTTTTATGTGGTTCACTAGCGCAATGTGTGCTTGCTAGTCGATGGACGAGGAGAGAACCAGTTTCATTATATTTGAGGAGATTACATATTATAGAGGAGTATAATGGTCTAAACACAATCCAATATAACAAATGATAAGGTTATAGAACAGGTCCGAGTCCGACGACAGATCATTCGATTCAAGTAATATCAACAGCCTTTCTACTGGTCACATAGGGCAAATGGAGACAAACCAACCCAATTTTAGGTCGGGAAAAGTCACAGTCGTGAGACTTGGACCGTGACTTGTACATACTATACTGTAAAATGGGACAGAAAGGGAACAAGAGAAACTCACGGGCTGGATGACATCAACCACGAAAATTCTCACGGCCGTTAGAACCAGATAGCGAAAAACAACCGTCACAACTGTGAAACGCAATAGTATCAAATGTAATTGTAAGTGGTTGCAAGAGTATGTTGAACCGACTTTATTGTAGAAATGATGGACTTGTATAGAAAAATTGAAATGGTTTTATAACCCACAATCGTTGTTATTGATTTGTGAAAAAGAATTGTACTGTATGCATTGCATGTACGAAGTAATCCTCACTCTAGAATAAGATCATTAACTATTTTTTACACAGAAGAATCATCCTATTTCTATCGTACACCAAATCCTGCCCCCAAAAATTCACCACCGCAAAGATTGGTCTTCAGAACGATCGTTTCAGGTTCCTGAAATCCACAGATTCAGTGCACTCGAACTCCATCCTGAAAGGATTCATGATCTTCAGAACCATCGTCGCCTTCACCTTGGTCTCTTCCGTGAACCCGAGCTGCAGAACCAGCATCTGAAATTCCCCAACCTGAAGCCCTTCCACAAGGGCCCTCTAGTCGCACCTCCCGAGCTTCCAAATCACCGAGACAGAAAACTCCGTCGGCGCCGCAGATATCCTCGGGATCTTCTTCACTAGTAGGGGCACCGCATATATCCCCTAGCCTCTCACCCTTCTCCTCAATCAAGGAAGCTTCCTCAAAATTCTCAACTACTGGAGCCACAATCTCCATCTGGACCTTTTCTGGAATATGCTCAATCTGCACCACATGTTCCTCTTGATTCTGTTTTCTAGCCTTCAGAACCCATACTTTCTTCTTATTCCACTCCTCCTTACCGCAATCATGGCCAAACCTACTACACTTCTGGCAGATTTGGGGCAAATTAAAATACTCAAGAGAAGAGAAACCAGTCCCTTCATCCGGAGCAAATCACAAAACTTCAGGGCACTTTGACTCCACCATAATCTCAACACAACATTTCGCAAACCCTAATTGATCATTCACTTTTGTTGATTCTTTTTCCCTGGGCTGGCCTTGGGTTGGGCATCGATTCTCATCTCGGTTGTTTGTTTAAGATGATATCAATGGTGGACATGATCCAGATTCGTGTCTCGCGCGGCAGCGAGCATGCTTTAGCTTTTGAGAGCCGCCCGATCGCTGGTTGCCATTGTATTGCTGGCCTTTTTTATTTAAAATTCTGACTAGTTTTCATTGAAAACAAATTGTCATTAATAAAACACCAATTAGTTTGTCAACATAGAACATACTGATGCCTCTCGTTTCAGGGAAATATAGAAGAGCTGATTTCTAAAGCATGATTTGATTTCGAATAACAAGCTTATTCAACGAGTTTTTTAACTATTCTTTCTTCCTTTGGTTTTCAAAACATAATAAGAACAACATTTTTGGACTCCTTGAACCCGCCAAACAGGTCAATTATATTACCGATTAAGGAGCTTTTGAATATACTATTGATGCATTGATGTACCAACCATCGCAGCACAAGAACGATAAATAAACTAAAACAACTAAATTAAGAGTTTTTCTTCTTCTTTCATTTCTAAACTGAACCACAAAATACATATTTATAGTAAAACACCCCTCCCACTTCGGCTAACAGTAGCTGACTTTCTTATAATAATAATAATATTAATTAATATTAATAATCTATCACCCATTAATCCACCACATCTGTTGTCACAAGGAGAAACCGATCCTCCCCCCCTAAAACAACCTCGTCCCCGAGGTTGGCAAACAACTACGCAAATGTGAAGGTGATGACAGACGATGGTGAAGACTTGGTATGGCTCGCACTTCCTACACTTCTAGTTGAGACGGAGCATCTTCATAACAGAGTAGTTTGATTCTTCATTGGCTCGCTTCCTGAACTTTCAATTCCTAGCACAACCCTTGCATATTGTCGTCTTCTTCCTTCCATACTCCACCCCCTTAAATAATCTCTTCCGTGAGATTCGGATGAATGGACAAATAGAAAGGTGTCATTGTTAGAACAGAAAACAAACTCATACCCCAAAAGAGTTCTAGAGGCAGAGAAGGCTGCCACAACTTCATGGGAAATTTCCACGAAATTGTTGAAGGCAACTTCATGAGCTGGAGGCGGCAGATTAGAGGTCGACAGCGACCGTGGCGTGGTAGCAGTCGATGTTTGCACGTTGGCAATGATCAGAGCAGAAACAGTGGGCTGATGGGTTCCCTTGATGGAGACAACGGCTCCAGGAACAAATTCCAGCAGTTGCGGCAGTGCTGGCACGGTGGGAATTGTGGCAGTTGCAGCTGTGGCAGGGAAGGCTTGATAGGCTTCCCGCTGTTTCTTGGAGAAGGCCTTCATCTCCTGGCATTGCCTATGGAGGGTTTGTAGCAGGTTCTTAAGCATTTTCAAGACAAGTTACCACGTGGGAACGCACCTTCCGTCCCCACAGCTGATGACGGTGTTGGCAGCTGGGGACGAGGTCGTGGCCATAGGTGGCGCAGCCTCCAAAATTTTGACGTGAACGTCTGGCGGTTCGTCGAGGGGTTATGACATCGGCCGACAGTCTCCAACGTGACCTCCATCAATAAGGTCAGCAACAATGTATGAGGTCGTAACCTCCAGCGATGCCTGGCAAACTTCCAGCGACGTTAGCCCTAGGAACTTTGGCGGCGGCGTGGTTGCTCGCGGAACCTCTTCCCAACGTTGATGATCGAACGTTGGCGATACCTGCCCGGGGAGCTGCAGCAACGAGCTCTGTTCGTCGGAACCAAACTCTGATACCAATTGATGCATTGACGTACCAAGCATCGCAGCACAAGAACGATAAATAAACTAAAATAACTAAATTAAGAGTTTTTCATATTCATTCATTTCTAAACTGAACCACAAAATACATGTTTATAGTAAAACACACCAAACCCTAATAACTAAACCTAATCTACCCGGCCAAGCAATAGCCACCCACCCCTTTACTACTCCTATTCAGCCAACAAACTCCTAAACCTACTATAATTCTACCCAAAACACCCCATAACACCCTCCCACTTCGGCTAATTGTAGCCGACTTTCCTATAATAATATTATTAATTAATATTAATAATCTATCACCCATCAATCCACCCCCCTTAAAACAACCTCGTCCCCAAGGTTGGCAAACAACTATGTAAATGTGAAGGAGATGACAAACGATGGTGAAGACTTGATATGGCTCGCGCTTCATATACTTCTAGTTGCAACGGAGCATCTTCATAACAGAGTAGCTTGATGCTTCGCTTGCCCGCTTTCTAAACTTCCAGTTCCTATCACAACCCTTGCATATCGTCATCTTCTTCCTTCCATACTGCACCCCCTCCCCCTCCCCCCTTAAAGAATCTTGTCTGCGAGATTTCGATGAATGGTAAAATATAAAGGGGTCATTGTTAGAACAGAAAACGAACTCATACCCAGAAATAGGAGTCCTAGAGGCGGAGAAGGCTGCCACGGCTTCATGGGAAATTTCCACGAAATCGTTGAAGACAGCTTCATGAGCTAGATGCGGCAGATTAGAGGTCGCCAGCGACCGTGGCGTGGTAGCAGACAATGTTTGCACGTTGACAATGATCGAAACAGCAACGGCGGGCGGATGGGTTCCCTTGATGGCGGAAACGACGCCAAGGAAGAGATTCCAGCAGTTGCATTGGTGCTTGCGCGGTGGGAATTGCGGTGGTTGCAACTGTGGCAGGGAAGGCTCGATGGGCTTC